ATTTGAGGAGTTGAGGTGAGGAAGTGTGAGAAAATTTCGTCCCAAAAACAATGGAAAGTCCTTCCTTGCTCGTCCTGGGCATTAATCTCGCACTTCCCCTTTCGCAATAGGAGCCGGACGATCTCCTCCTGACCCAGCGCCGCTCTGCAGGAGGCGGGACGGGAGGAGGAAGGAAGGGGAGGGGGAAGTTTGGGGAAAATTGTGCTCAGGAGGAGAGAACGATCGAAAATGAGAGGCAAAAAAGGTCGAGCTCGAACGATGTGAAGCATTTGAGGGTGTGAACGAGCGAAGGGAAAGCATGATTAAAGCACACGACCATAGGCACTCTTCTCCCCCCGGCCCCTTCTTTCCCCGCTTCTCTCCCCCCCTGCTTACGAATGCATCAACACCGTCCCACCACCGCCCTGGAATCCATAGTCTCTGTCGGTATCGAGCCATTCTGCTTTTCCTGCCGCATCTTCCTCCTCCTCATCCACCCGATCGACACCCCCATGCCTTCCAACGACCGCCTCTTCCCTCATTCCGTCAATCCACCCTCTTCTTCTTCTCCTTTGCTTATTCTGCTGTCGAGATACGGACGAGAAAAACATTGGAGACATCCACGGCTCATTCAAATCTGCCCCCCTTTCCAGTAAGAGCTCCACGACTCTAATGTTGGCTCCCATGGATGCATACGACCAATATAAAGCGCGTCGACCCCCGTGATCGACGAGGTTGAGATGTGCCCCATGATCCAATAATGAGGCACAGATATGGTAATGCCCCCACTGACAGGCATACATGAGAGGGGTCCGCCCTCTCTTGTCTCGTGTGTTCAGATGGTCAGGAAATGCAGAGATCTGTTGGAGTATGAGTGTAAGGGCTCCCCTGATACAAAAAACAACAGGAATGGGAGAAAAAGCAAAGTGAAATCGAGGCTTAAGGATGGCGTAGGTACAAAAAGGAGTCTAAATAAAATAAGCATTGCATTGCAAACGAGGAAGTCATCGAAAGAGTAAAATACTCACCGTGCCGCAGCCTCGTGTAGTGCAGGCGCCATGAGCTTTCCCTCTCAAGGGAAAAAAAGTGGCTTACTCTTGGCCCTATCTTTCCTACAATTGTCTTCCTCGCAGTCCGTCAACTTAGCTCCTTGCAGACTTCTTTGTCGTATCTGCGCAAAACAAGGGCCCAAACGGCTATGTGCAGGGTCACTTCACATCCGTACATGATAATTTGGGATCAATAAGATCTGAGAATACTGGTTCAACATAAGCAATACTTGCTATTATTGACAAACGTTATTGCTCTTACTTTAAATTGAGGGGTTTCTCATTGAGTAGTCTCATGTACGGGGAAGAGAATATTCCCACAGCAAACTTGCGATAAAAGCGTGTGAGCAGTCCTATGGGCAAAACTTTTTCTAAAAGGATTAATCATTTAAGCATATTTATATTATTGTGTGCTAGCACATGGCTTGCTATTAAGTTTTTTTGAAAAAGCAGGGTTTTCGTGCACCGTTGCCTAGCGGCCGTTTGCGTGGCAATGGCGAGGATTTTTGAATTTTAAATTTTCAACTTTGGAGATGAGGCACGCTGGCTGTCGTAAAAACTTCAGAACGCGCATCGGCCAGATGGAAACCTCACTTCTAACGGTGAAATGAATTACATCAGTCATGAAACCGGCGGAAAACGTTACTGCGCATTCGCGACGCAATGTGGTATACTGTTCCTCCCATTGTTCAGTATTGTTGCACATATTTCTTAAATTTTACATCATGGAGGTTTCTGCGAAAGCTCTCGCCACATAGGCGCTGCATCATGATATCTCAATGTTTGGTACATAGAGACCTGCACAATAACTCATTGGTTACGAGTGTTCAATCTACAGGCCTTTCCTCCGTGCACCCCACCTTCTGTACATTCCCTTACCACACGGGGACCTTGTAAAACAACAAAGGAGCATACGCGGGCTTATGCGGTATGGGTGTTCCCGTTGAGTCATTGAGTGCGACACTCGTATGCTCTTCCATCATCAACGCGGTAAAATTTCCCCTTCCTCCCTCGTGTCCTCCCTCCCTCCCTCCTTCGAGTCCCCCCTCCCTCGCCGAAATTTTGAACTGGAAATGGATGCGGGAATACGGAGTTTGTATCTCACAGATAACTGCGCCTTTGTGAATCCAGAAAAGACCTTCATTCAACTCTTTCTTCTTGCTATTGGCGCTGATCGGAGGGTTCCCCGTGGTGTTGATGCTTGCGGTACGACCATTTTCTCTGATTCTGTCCCTCCTTGGCGGGCCCCAGCCCCGCAAAGCCGAAGAAGAGGAAGTGGAAGTCAAGGTAGAGGGAGGGAGGTTGGATACGTGCGCCTCGTATTCCTTGAAGAGACTCACTGCTTCGGGAGGAGGAAGGTAGAGGAGTGCGTAGACTAGTCGACCGCCCGGTAGAAAGCGGAGGTAACGGTAGTAACGGACTTCCAAGATGGTGCCTGGAGTGATTTCTGTCCACATGTCCTGAGCGGTACCCAAGGAGAAAGGATGGAAGAAAGAAGGGCCAGGTTGGGAGGGAGGAAGGGGGAGACGACATGTAGAGGGCTCTGGCATGCCGAAATCAAGCAAAATCATTATTCAGGCAGAGAGTCATGCATCCACTTCACCACTGACCTTGATAGGTTTTTTAATGTAGCTGGAGAGGAGGAAGTAGAATCCATTCGTCCTGACGCGGGGCCGTGTTTGGAGCATGGCTTTCCAACTCCCTTGGAAACGCGCAGGGTTCAGTCGCTTTACATGGGCCTGAGGGTTTCGCAAGAACAGGAGACAGGAGGGGTCAGTGTGTCTACACTCGTACGACGGTCTATGGTGGGAGAGGGTGCTTGGTCCACGTGTAAAAGACTTTCCTTCCGTCCATTCTTTTTTCCCCTTCCTCCCTTTTCTCCAAACACGCTTGACCATCGCAAACGCCCAACATTACAACGGGCTCCCCTACGTGCAGCCTATTCAACGTGAACATCTTACCTGGTCTAGGTAAATGCGTTCGCAGTGGGCTTGGCAGATCCGTTCATCGAACAAAGGCCGCCACCGTTGAGACGACATCGTGCTAGCCACGCCTGTGTCTATATCGACAAAGGTGAGGATCCGGTGCAGGACCTCGTCCGGCATGGCGGATGCATAGTCGATTTCTCCTTTTGGTGCACGCAAGTACCGTGGGGGATGGACGGAGCCGAATGCCAGGGCCCCATTGGTACTCGAGGTATGGGAGGAAGTCGGCAGATGCGAAGCGCGTTTGGGTACCACGTGAACATCCACGGGAAGGAAAGCGGCTTCTTCGGGGTCCGGGATGGCAAGATGGAGAGAGGTTGACGGCTTGTCCATGAAGGGGCGATGTATGACGTTAAGTGTGCGTGTTCAAGCGGGGTAAAGTGTAAAAATCGCTTGGCCGATCCCCTTAGATCAATTGATACCTACTACACTGAGATCCTCCTATCCTCAGAAAGCAGCGCCGGGCCCGCACAAAACCTAAGAGTCCTATTCGTCACGATGTAAGATGAAAAGAGCGTGAAAAACGGTACAAAGCTGCTGTCAGTCGATATTTTTTTATTTTGCTTATCGGCTCGTCACCCTTGCTCGTCAACGAGAGTCTTGACGTTTTGCGATGCATGTACATACAAAGCAAATGACAGCCCAACAAATCCCATTTTATGTTTTATAAACAAACGAAAAGGTTGCAATATGCACTTGGATTTCCTGCAATTGGGGCAAGGCGTAATAGTCGCTCCTTGATTTTGGAATAAAACTTACACCTGACGTGTAGACTCTCGCTGCTGTTCCTTCACCCTCCTGCTTGAAAAACCTTTTTCTTCCTAATTACTGTTTCTCACCGCACGCCAAGCCCGATTCACCCTCTAATCAATGAGTAAATCCTCTGCACATGGTATTCGTGCCTATGGATAGCCTATTTCACAAACGGGGTTTACATCGCATACACTTTCCACACGCTCTAACACGACTTCTCATTCCCTTCCTCGAACGCAGACAGGGACTCTTTTGTTTTAATAGGAGCATGACAAACATCTGCATCGGACCGCTTTGTATTCCCCTCCAAGCCCTCGTCCCCTTCCTTTTCATTCTCTTCCGGATTGGCGTGGCATGGTTCAAAACGAACGTCCTCAAGACGCTCTCGCCCGAGGAGAAGGCGCTTGCCGAGTTGCCACCGCCCCCTGCTGTGGTCGAACGCAAGTGGGTCGACCCCTCCATTGTTCACATCACTGACGCTGCACATTTGGAAAGGATTAAAAGGGAGGCGATGGGAGCTGGTGTACCGGTTGTGATCGATTTTACGGCGGGCTGGTGTGGACCTTGCCGGACTATAGCGCCTTTATTTGAGGAGTTGAGGTGAGGAAGTGTGAGAAAATTTCGTCCCAAAAACAATGGAACGGCCCTCATCCACATTCATATTGCCTATAACACTCTCTGGTGATCCTCTCACCTATCGTCCGCTTCCACTTCCTGCCTTTCCCTTCACCTCCCTCTTTGCAGTCAGCAATATGATGCCTGTTTCGTGAAGGTGGATATTGACGAAGCCGACGACGTTGCGCTTACCTACAAAGTCCGGTCCATGCCGACCTTCGTCTTTCTGAGGATAGTGGGGGATCAAATCGAAGAAGTGCGGTTTTCAGGGTGCAACAAAATCAAGCTTGAAGGGTTGGTGAAGGCGATGTGTGCCGCGGTGGTGAAAGGAGAAGTCAGGGAGACGAACGAGGAGAACAAGAAGAAGAAGTAGTCAGAAAGGAAAGACTGTGGTGGAAGAATTGACAGAATGTGATCTTAAGGAGCGGCTGGAGGGAAAAGTACACTGGCGTGCGTGTTGAAATTTGCTTGTTTTTCTTTCCTCCTGCTTCCTCCCTCTCTTTCACCTTCTCTCCCCACAAGGCAGCTTCAACGACGCTGCTGGAAAAGTCCGCATCATGACCTTGACATGCGCCTTTCTGTCGCGACAAAGTTCCCAGAGAACTTATCCCGGGCGGCCTTTCTCTATAGCGCTGCCAGTCTCTCCGCATGGAGCCGGGCACTCCCCCTCTTTTGCGACGACCACCCCAAATATTCCCCAGAGAGATTGCGTAACGTACATTCTTTTGCCTCACGCATTCCTTCCCTAAATTGATGCGACGTGCGTGTAAGAGCAGGGCGAGCACGCCGGGATCTGTCCCGGGTGTCCTTTGAGGTTCAGCTTTTCTCTCTGCTGATCTGACGTAGCCATTATGCTGCTAATGAATTGTAAGTTTGAGAGAATGAAGAGCGGACATGATAGCCTTGGGAGAAACAGACCATGTGACGGCAAGCCCCGAAGGCTTTTTTCTTTTTCGAACTTTAAAGCAATGTGTCATCTCCACACCCGCGTCCCTCTCTTCCTTTCGTCCCTCCCAACTCCTTCTTCTCCCATTGGGTCTTCTTGCCATCCTCCTTCCCTTCCTCCTTCTCCTCTTTCACATCCACTTGTATCATCGCCATGTGCTTCTTTACCTTCCCCTCCTCGTCTTCCTCCTCCCTGCCATGATTGCACCTGTTCTCTCAATTTGATTACTTCTGTCTCTTTCCTTTCCAATTCCCGCTTGGCCGTTTTATAAAGCGATGAGATATTAACTCGAAGCACGTCATTTTCCTTCCGTAAAGTTACGCATTCTTTTCCTACCAGAGCCGCTTTTTGTTCCAGCGTCGCGATGCGGGAGTAGGCGGCATCTAAGCGCGCTTCCAATTCTTGTGTAGCTACCACCGCAGGGGGAATATCTAAGTCTTCATATAGGCCACCACTATCCATTGATAATGATAGCTACGACGAGATCGGGTACGCGAGTGGCCTAAAAGCATGCGGAAAGAATAGAAAGTAATAAGTAAAGTTAGAAAGGAGGTCGGGCGCGTATTGTTGTGGAATCACCAGGCAATCTGCCCACGGCCCACAAGGCAGACCCTGGTGAAATGTAGCCGTCTTTTTTCCTGCATAAAAAAAAGAAAAATCCCTTCATTGTCAGTGCCAGCATGTAATTAAACCCCAACGTTCTGTTTGAATGTCGTTCTGAAGTTTTCCCGAATCTGACACTTTGCTTTTTGAAGCACTGATCGTGCCCGGGAGGGTTAACGTGACGGCATACGCGCCCGAACTCCTGGCCCTGGTTTTCGGGCGACTTTAATTCGTTCACTTATTTCTTATATCCCAGAGAAATAATTTGAGTGTTCACAGACAATTTTCCTGTCCATCTCGACCTTTCTGGGATTTTAGGAGGGAAGTCCTATTTGTAAGCCGCTTGGAATTGTTGAAGACTCATCTCGGGTATGATTTACCGATGGGAGTACTTATTTCACTTATGTTTTCGTAATGAAACTCAAAGCTGACGTCAAAGAGATCCTCTGCTCCTAGCAGGAAAAAAATGGATGCAAATAAGGTCACAAAGACGGCTAATAGATCGACTTTTGTACGACATAGACTCAACATTGTGCCGTCTCATCCGGGGTCTGGAAAGCCAGTATTACGCGTCATACCAGCATGGAGCTTTGAGCTTTTGATAAGTATGAAGTTCACGCAGTGATTGCCTTGCCAGAAAAAGGTGTCTACGCAAATGATCGCCCGGTTGGGCGAAGTGTTTTTCCGACTGCCGCGCCCGTGTATGCGTCTCGTCAGGCATCAGAAGGTCCTGGAGGCCCATTGCGCCCTGCACTTTACGGTGCGGTCATCCCTTTGTCGTTTCAACGTGGTTTTCGCAACCTGCCTTGTAAACATGCGCTCCCATTTTTCCACCTCGGAACAGACAAGATGTCTGGCCTCAGTTATCGAGGGCGTACGAAAAGAATATGGAAATCGTTCCCTGGTCCGACTTGGAGACATGAAATGTGACCAAGAGCCCGCCGACGTGATTTCAACAGGGATCTTTGCCCTCGATCAAGCACTAGGTATTGGTGGGCTGCCCCGCGGGCATTTGGTAGAGCTCTGCGGCCGCGATGATGCGGACGTTACGGCAATGGCGCTTTACATGATGGGAAGGGCCCAGGGAGAAGGAGGCACTGCCGTGCTTGTCAACCACCACATCGCCCTCGACCTGGAACATCTCCGTGCACTCAAGGTGGATGTGGAGAACCTCTATATCGGACAGCCAAATACCTGGGAGGAAGCATTGGAGATGGGCACTCGCCTCGTCGCATCCCGGGTGGTGGATTGCGTGGTCATGGACGGGACTTTGGCGCCTTACCCTACCCGGAGGTTGCAGATGACCGGCGTTCAAAAGCTTCCAACAGCCATGTCGCAATGGGTGAGACTGAACCAGGCCCTGTCCCGATCTCGATGCCTGCTTCTGTGGCTGGGGCGGGCCCATGGGATGCCCGACCTTCGGGACGCGAGGGAGGCAAGGGAGGAAGGAAGGACCGAGGTATGGGCCAGCTTCCCCTCGCTTCGGTTGCGATGCGAGGAGATCGATCCGCTGGATCGTGGAGAATGGAGTGGACGGGCGGGACGGAAAAGGGGTGGGGTGTCTTGTCGAAGCTCGGACGACGACCATTCGCTGTTTCGCAAGCGCCGAGGGCAGCCCCGGTACATCCGGGTAGGCGTGGTAAGAAACATGCTGGCGACCCCGTCTGGGGCAGTGGAGGTGGACCTCGTGAACGGAACAGAGCATGACAGGTCAGGAGCGACGAAGGAAGGAGAGAGGGTAAAAGAACAAGGAGGAGCACTGGCCGCGGATGGACAAGCAGGGACGACGATGGTTGCACCCCTGCAAGGAAGGGAGGATAATCCCTCGATCTCAGAGCACGTCGACCGGGGAAAAGAACAGGCGGAAATCGAAGAGCCTTTGCGTCGGGCTTCGATCCATGTGCCCGCATGGACGAGTGGGGGAGGAGGTGGAGGAGGCGACGGCGTGGATCTAGATATCGATTATCTCACCGGCGAGATCGGCAATGCACAAGCAGAGGCAGCGCTGACGGGCTCCGACGCAGGAAGGGGAAAGAGGGAAGGAGGGACGGGGTAGCGGGGCAGAAGAGGCCGGAGTGGATGCAATTGAGAGAACAGTGAGCCACAGGAGAGCAACATGTTCTTTGCTTGGATGTATGGCTTGTGGGCCGAGCCCCAGTGGAGGAGGGTGCTAACGTTAACGTCTGTGGCGTGTGACAAAGAATAATGCTCGCTCCCATCTTAAACCATGCTTGGGACTCGGCGCGGGATGATACTTGTTGTTTCAGAGGGGAGATGGCGGCTGTGGAAGGAAAAACAATGCTGTACCGACTTGATAACGGTTGCCTTGACCGAATGAAGGTAGTTACGAGATTTGATAGTCGCTCTCATCAGCTCTCAGTCCAGGATATGCAGAAGAAACCACGACACAGCACTGTTAAAAAAGGTCTTGCTCTATACGAAGTTATCTGTCTAAAACCAATATGTTCCATATGATTCTGAGGAGCCCAAATAAAGCAAGTATGTTTCCAAATATTCTGACGAGGACGAATGGATGGGTGTCAGGCTCGCGGAAAACGAGCGGGAGGAAAGATAAAAGCAAGAACGGACTCTTAAGTAGGTATTTAAAACACCGCAACCTCTCTAGTTTTTCGAACACAGCGAACTCTACTCTTTACCTGACTTGACTATCCTCTGTATCAAATTTTAGCGGGCAAGTCTCCGATTTCCTCCTTACTCCAGACTTCTCTCGAATCACCTATTGTTTCTCATCGACATTCCCGTGGCTTACTGCCGGGCAAAGCGTGTACTTTTTAGCGACTACATAGATTATGCCAAAAAAGGACTGCACTCGTAGTGTGCTCAGAATAAATTTATCCCTACTGTGCAAACCTTCCAAAACTCAGCCCTGACGCTCAGAGATTTCCCCTATATCCTACTCGGATACAATTTTAAAAATCCTTCACCGGACAGTCAGATCGGCATCAGCTTGCCGTGTGCTCTCTATCTTCTTCCCTCCCTCCCTCCCTCCCTAACTCTCTCCATATCCCACTCGCCCCAATCGTCATCATTCCACTCCGCCCCATCCTCCTCTTCTTCTTCTTCCTCCTCCTCGTCCTCCTCCTCGTCCTCGTCCTCGTCCTCCTCTTCCTCGACGTCGCTTTCTTCCTCCTCCTCTTCGTCACTGTCCTCTTCCTCGTCGTCCGCTTCTTCTTCCGCGTCAGGTGACTGACCGTTGCCCTTCTCGTCCGACACAAGCATATCCTTCATCCCCTGCATCACAGAAGCCAAGAGATCTTCAAAATTCATTGCTAGCTTTCCTTCCTTCACTCCCGCCGTTTCTCCCTCCCTCCGTCCGGAGGCCGGTCCTATCAACGGGGTCAAATCCAAAAGCTCCTTCTCCTCTTCCAACGCCATCGCCTTGAAGGACCCGAGGCGCACCCACACCTTGTCGTCTTCCCTCCTCCCCTCCTTAGGATGGAGGAGAATCCCAGAGTCGAGCACTTTTCGCGCCATTTCCCGGGTCAAAAGGAGGGAGGGAATGGTAATGTCGCCCCCGCTCCCGTCCTGTGCCATGACCTCCCACGCCTTGAACAAGGACTTGACAGCCTCCTCCCCCCCCCCTTTCCCTCCTACCCGCCCGCTCGGACCCCCAAGGTCCTGTCCACCTCTCTCTGGTGACGGCGGGGCAGAAACAGAGGCGGGGGAAGCAGGGACATGGGCCAGGTCCAAAACGACCATCCCCACCCCGCCCACGGCCTGCACATGGCGGGCCTTGGTCAGGTACGAACACCCGCCGCGCTCCACCACAACCACACGTCCCACCATACCTTTCCCCTCTTCTTCCGAAAAGGGCAGACAGCCTCGGTGGAAAGCAGGATTTCCGTCGTTCCGGTGCTTTCCCGTACTGGTATTCTCGGGTTCGGCGTGGTAGGACGGACTGCCTTCCCCTGAGTGAGGCACAGGGGGGGTAGGGGACAAGACGGGAGCCAGCCGAGCAAACAGAGGGCCCTCGAGTCGAAGGTCGGGGCCGAAGTCTGCCGGGTATCCCGCGACGC